TTTCGAGTCATGAAACCCCCCCCCTTTCAAAAGGTAGTTATTTTGCTCTCTCCCCCTCCCCCACTTTATAGGCCTACCAACGGTTGGAGGTACAGTGCAACTTCATAATTGTATTCTTTTCAGTCTAATAGCTGGGTTTGCCCCCCCCCACTTTATAGGCCTACCAACGGTTGGAGGTACAGTGCAACTTCATAATTGTATTCTTTTCAGTCTAATGGCTGGGCCATTTTAAAACCACTTTTAAAACCGTTCCATCGTTGCGAGTCCATGGCTTTAAGGATCACTCACATCTTTAGTTCAGTAGTGTCCTTTGTTTTCATTCATTACTAAACGAAACATTTTTCCATGAGTCTTGCTACAGATCTTATCATAATACATAAGTGGACATTCTACAGAGACTAGTGTGATATAAAGCGCATAATAAATTGCAGTGGTCAGTGTGTTTCATTTGAAAGGATGGGGGGGTTCAAGGGTGCGTGCACAATGCACATTTACAGTGGATGTTTTGCCCTTAAGTTTCACATTAAACTTGAAGTCCTGAATCTCTGTGACTACAGTCAAGGTTGGTTCAAGCTTCATGCAAAACAACACAAAATTATATTAGATCAAATACCTTGAGCCGCCAATTAGTAAAACCTCTTCACTTTGAGAAGAATGCATCCACTGTTGTGGTCTATCCATTACTTTCCTCACTCTGCCTCCCCACCCTCATACATCAAAGTAGTTCACACTTCATTATTTGGACAGAATGCTAGTGTCCACAGATTTCTCATTTTGATACCCACGAACACTTTCGAATGTTGGCTGTGTTCGTTGGAGGTGGCTCACAGCCCTGTTTTTCATGTTCATATCAACATCCAAGTGACGTCTTACATTGAAGAACGTGTATATGATTTATTTGATGCAGGCAGCAACGTGAACATTCCTGCAGAAGTAATGATATTGAATGCAATCATCCTGCCTCACAAGGAGATTCGAAGAACATTCAAGAATCAGATTCTACTCTAAGTGTTTGGAAGCAAAGTGCACCCCAGCAGCACAAACTTTTACACAAGTTAGCTGCTGCAGAAAAGACAGCCATCAATGGCCATCAAAACTGATATGCAAAAATGTTGGGATCTACACTATTTTGAATTACGTGTAGTTGGTGTAACATGGTGGGGTGTAACTGGTGTGTAAAGTCAATGCTCAACTCGAGTTTTACCGAAAATAAACATTCCAAAATCACAATTTGTTTTAAGATACTGTAGCAAGTACTGATTCTCCATGCAGGAATAAGAGATGTACCTTTACATAGCAACGATGGTTCCTTGGTGGATACTCACTCAATGCACATCACAGATTTATGTGGGCTTGATATGGGCCGTGCTGAGCATGTGTATCCAATTTCTTTTGGAATGTATGGTTGCTAGTGGGTGTGTATGTATAGGCCCGGTAGAAAAACTCCCTACGAGCCTATCTCTTAGCTGCCAGTGAGGGAGAACTTTTTATAGGAGTGAAAATATTTGTGAAATTGTATCTTTAGTCTAACTACACGATACATACAGGTATATGCCTCAATGTTCCATAAGTGAAATTCTTTACTTTCAATTTTCTAGATATTGTGGTCGGTCATTAAGCAGTGTTTAGGGATAAAAAAGTTTGTTCTGGTGAGGATGGGTTTGGAGCAAAAGTCATTACTCAAGAAATGGGGGGAAAAGACACAACGTAACCCCACTTTTTCCTAGTTTCACTACCCATTTTTGTATCCATGAAGGGCTTTCCAAGTTGGATTAATAGATGGGTTTAATTTTGGGTTGTTCAACTCAATTTTTATAAACCGCCACTTAGTTCAAAGGTAAATTTTAGTTTGAAGGGATAGGGTTTTTCTTGCAAAAGTGTATTTGTGCTTTGAAATGTAATATGGCAGATTCAGGTTGCCAACATGAATGGTTTTCCATGAGAATTGTTCTAGGAAGGTGACAAAAAGATGAACATTTTCTTCCGTAATGCTGAAACTGAGAAACCTATCAATAAATAAACTACAAGTAGTTTTCCATAATCAAGAATTTCATATTTGTGTTGAAGTATAAATGTAACGTGCTACGAACCACTTCCCAGTGGAAATGTATACGTTTTCATGGCAAAAACACACAACCGAGTAGTGGAGGATGGATGCACAGAATCTGTATTGATTACCTCATGTAGTAATTATTAATTAGATGAATTCTAAATAGATTGTTTTTATATCAAAAGTGAGTGAAATTTGCACCATTGTTCAAAGTGTGATTTTCTTCACCATTAGAGGCAGAAGATGGAGGGTTCGGGATAAGGGAACATCCAGTAGCTATATGTAGTTTGTAATTGAAGGATTGTACAAAATGTGTACTCAAATCAATGAAATTTGAACTGACCCCATTACACTCCATCACTTTCTATTTTACATGTACATGTCAATGCAGACACAGAAACATGTAGTTGCATGGAGCACACCATTGACAGAATATACATGTACATGCAGTCACGTACAAGGTTGGAATCGTCGTGCCACAAGTTGCAAATGACAGCAAGTGAATGCTTTTGTAAAAGGACATAGGGTTTCCACATCACTGCATTATTTTGCTTTGTACAGAATGTATATGAAGGGGGAAGACTTTGAATGTGATCTTGCCATATTATGAATAACCAGCAGGGCTGGGGCCACATCGCTCTAGAGTAACTTCATAAGGGGGGCGGGCTGGGTGTGAACAGCTGGCACCCTCCAATCATTCCAGCCCAATCGAGAGAAACTATTGTAACAAATCCCAAGAGCCACCAGACTTTGTCACTTAAAGGAACACCATGCCAGCTGTGGATTTTCCAGGTCCCAATAAATTGTATGTGTATCAAGCTTTAAGCCTTTAAAAGTTTCTGGCCCTTCAAGGGTTTTACGTACCCTTAAAGAGCCCCATAGTTCTAGGGGTAGTAAGCTTCACGTGTTAAATGATGCGAGGGCCAAGGTACGAGGTCTCCATGCTGATTATGCGTACATATTTTGTGCAATGATCAAAGGAGTTTTATCCTTCCACATGCATTTCCAGGGCTTGTTCAAAATCAACCATTTCAGTGGAAATGAAAACGACCCCAATCTTCCCAAACCCACTAGAATCTTCAAGTGATGCCAATGTAGTAAAATCATGTGGCTGCTTTTGATGGACATCGTACAGACAAGCATGAACGTGGGTCCAGATTATATCAGCTAGCACGAGCACAGTTAACACATACACGTCCCGCGGATTTCTGATTCTTGGTGTAGAGGACACAGAATTTATATCAAGCAAATTTGATGAGTAATCAGTGTATGTGCATTTAATGCATGTGATGATCAGCACGGGGAAACGTGCCACTTTTGAATTTACAGTCATGCAGATGTGTGTCTGCTTTTAGTGTAAAAATGATGCATTGAAATAAAACTGCGGGGTTCAACATGGACCATGCAACTCAGTTACATATAAAAAATATGTACCATCAGTGCTCTTAATTTATCCGATTGCCTAGTTTCCGGTAACTACATGTACCTTGGTCAGGGCAAGCAGATTTAGTTCTGAATGAACGCAGAAAAATCCATGCTCATTCCACCTAGATGCAGCGTTCCAAGTTCAAAGATGATGCGCTGCTCCAGTTCCTTACACTGTGCAAGTGTGCATCGAATGACACTTTCCGCACTGGCAGTGTGTCACCTTTGAATATGGAACGCTGCATCCAGGTGGAATGAACTTGGATTTTTCTGCATTCATTCAGATCTGAATCTGCTTGCCCTGACGAAGATAGTTACCAAAAGCTCAGCAAATAGATAAATTAAGAGTACTGACTGTATGTACATGTGTATTTTTGTCATTCTGATCACAGTGCTGTTCAGCCCTTTTACATTTTCGGAACACTTATCACCACTGGTTTGACCAATCAGAATTGAGAATTCAATTTGCCTGAAGACAACACTTGAAATCATTCAACACAGCCCAAGGACATCATTTGCACTGCCTACACATTATGGTATGAATTACCCAAGGATTTGAAGGGATTGATGCTGAAGAAGCTCCCCATAGAGCATAAAGCACGTTAAAGAAAGGAGAATTTGGAGGGCTGAGGTTGTATCTAACTTTTACACGGAGGCAGTTGGAGGATTTTGCTCGCTGTTGTTGCATCCTAGCAATGTGGCTAAGTTAAAGAAGAGACGCAAGGGGCCGATGTTTTTTGAATGACATGTTGATACTGCCTTTATTACAAAATCCACAAGACCATTCATGATTTTTTTTATCTGAGTGCAAATCAATCAGACACATCCATCACTATTGCTGGAATGTTGCCACAGAGTCGATTCCACAGCGTTTCCCTGATGACTGCATCTGTCGCTCTTGCTTCCAAAAACCATGCTGGAGATCCTGAACCAGTCGCTCTTGTGCAATGCATGTGTACTTCCGTGTCCTATCCGATTCCAAAGTGTGCGTGTGCGAGACAAGTCCAATGTCCACACAGAGAAAGGGCCGAAAAGCTGTTCCATGGGGATTGAAGTGCCATTAAACCTCTCTTTGGGCACTAGGTGGAAGGTTCTCTGATTTCAATTATGTGGGCGTCCTGAAATGCAGCACTGTCCAAGAATGGGTAGAGGGTATGTGTGGTGTGCCATTGATGGATGGTGGCTGAGAATTTTGCGAGTCAGAAGCTAGAGATACCGGTCGCAGCTGTCTACTTGGACCTGGCACGCATCTTTCTCCTCTTGCGCTTCAGTCTAGGAAGGAACCAAGTAAAGCATCATTTAAGTTCATACATTTTGCTTTCCTACAATGTACATATCCAAACGATTCTATTTTGTCTTCTATCTTCTCTACAGGGCATAATTTAACCGATTGAAATCATCACCTCAAGGGGATTTATTCAAATGTTCATTTCAATCAATCCTTGTAATCGTTCACTTTGACAGTCTCCCTTCACAGTCCCAAAATCAAGTAGAGAAATGCTAGGGTCCAACATTCAGTCTAGTAAGAGACACCTTACTCACCTTCGCATGCGTTTCTTCTTCCACTGAATAGGTAACATGAAACAAAGACAAAAGAAAAAATTACAAAATACAAGAACTTCGTTGTCAACACCCTTTTTCAATTTCATTTTAACAGATTATTGGTACCAGCAGTTGATCAAGTAACTGCATGCATGAAAGACTTTCAATACAGAGTACCTTTCAGTTTGAGAAGTAGTGTTAACCGAAATGCCAAAACGCTTGTTCATGTTGTTCAGCTTGTGACTTTTTCCCTCCAACTTCATAAAAACAACATATTCTGTTATTTTCAGGCCGCACATACGTGGAAGCGGACAAAAATCACTGCCTGTCCACATCCATGTGTGGCCTTGACAGAAAGTGTTCATGGTGCGACAGCTCGCTCATGTGCACTGGTACCCAACGGCTGTTGCCTGTCGTTCTCGCAATTCGGACATAAATGATGAGGAGCCCTGTGACTTGTCAGTGCTACCCCCTATGCGCTGCAGCCAACAGCCATTTCAACCATTCAGTCCAGTCGTGGCTAAGAATTGAACACACACACACGTAGGGAAAGCGGCTGCAGCCAATTTTCATGTCCAGTGTATCGGTTGCAGCTGTAGTCAACCATTTCGGTTGCGGCTCGTCTTCGCAAATACACATGTGAACCACATGACTCTCAGACACTGATTGGGAAATATTTGCACCTTTTTTGGGTAACGGCATGGTTTTGGCCAGTTTTTTCTTAGTACTCGGTATGAAGGTATCTTACATTGAACTCTTAATTCATGTAATTGGGGGAAATGGAGCAGCATTTCTATGGAACACAACTAGAATAAAATGCCCTGTTCGTACCCTGTTAAACATCATGTAGAGCCTACGGCAAAAAAGGCTAATTTTCTGTGGGATTTGTGGGAGTGGGACGGACGTCGGACCCCACCATGCCCACAGTTCTCGGGGTAGGCCTACCAACATACCATGACACAAAATGTTGAATTAAGCAATGTGATTGAGAACAATTTGGCAACTAACAACCAGACTTAAACACTGCATGCGCTATCATAACCATCGTGAATAAGCCTCATTGCTAATCTGCATGAATGATTTTGCACAATGGTAGAAAGGTAGCCTACTGCGGAAAGGAAAAGGGGCAATGCGAGCGGGCCAGACGTCAGATCCCACAGTTCTGGGAAAGGCCTAGTCCAAACCGAGTGGCCCTGTATTCTATAGTTATACCCAAGGTCTGGTATTCAAATTACACTAGTACTGTATGGCAGTCATGTGCCCTTGCCCTGTGATAAAGTTTCTACTTTCATGAACGTTTTTGTCATGTCTGCACGTCAGTAGGCCCAGCCTGCAGTGCCAATACGTGACGAGATTGAGAGAAACTGTAAAACGCCACAGACTAATTATATGGTATAAACCAGATAAAAGACCTGCATTAGTGATGGTCTCACCTTATCCCTCATCGCACTATGTCTTTAAAACTTTGATGGTGTACACAATAAGTTTTTATTGGTGGATGCCTCTTAAAAAAGAGGATTTTTGAAGATATGGATCAGCAAGCCATGTAGGTCTCCCCGAACCTACTATTGTAAAGGCCGAATTGTTGCAGGAGTGCGCATGCGTACAAAAAGCAAAATATAAGTACGGCCAGCCAAGAAGTTCAAAATACGACTTCCCAAATGGCAAAACCACCAAAATCTAATGTCCACACGAGGATTAAAAACTTATTTGGAGTTTAGTGTTCTGCGTGACTATAGATTGTATGCCCAACTGAGAAATGTCGATAAATACCCGTCTTGGATCTTGTTACACATTTGAAAGTGACCACAAAATGGAAGTCATGGTTCAGTTGACCCTACCTAGTCCGAATATCCTCCACTTTGCGAGGGCATGGCGCTTGCCCCAACGGACACCTGATACCAATGGATATTTGTCTTGTTCTAATTTCAGTTTAACTTTGGAGATTTGAGCCAGCAGCAGAAAACTGGAGCGGCTACAAAAAGGACACAGCCAAATGGATTATTAGACTTGAAATATCTAGATTGGATAAATAGCGACCCGGGGCGTTAGCTGAAATCAGTGTACTAACGTTCATCGATCTGGTATTGCCTTGATGTTCCTCAGTCCAGGCAAAAGAGTTCAGTCCTTCAATACTTTGCTCATCATTGGCCACCAAGAGACATCTTAAGTTTATCTTAAATAAGGTGGTGGTTAACGTTACACTTGCACGGTTTTCAACGTATAGACCGTGATCATTCTGAGGTTTTTCACATTTTTATACGGGGTCTGCAGGACTGGAAATTGCACGTTATTTTAATTTCTCATAATGTGATACTTCTTTACACGATTTATTAAGTTATAAATTTAGTTTGATTCCATAACTTTTCTGCTGTAGCAAATTTCCTGTTACAGATGATAAACCAAATCAAATCAGTTAGGAGGACCATTCCATTCGTCACCTCATGGAGTATTAGTCTTTTCACTACAGGAACATGAAACATTACTTGCAGGGGCGGAGTTGCAGGAATTTTTTTGGGGGGGGGGTTCAGGCAAGTCAGATTTTTTATGTCGAACAGTTGCATGTAAGGCGCCTTTTAATTAAGACCTTATTGTACAGGTGGAAAAGATATATATCAGACAAAAGAAAAATTTACAAAATAAAACGGAAGGAAGATATAGAACAAAAAATGAAAAATAGACGAAACAAATGTAAATGTGGAATAAAACAAATATGAATAGAGCAAAATGAATATAAAATGGGACAAAACAAAACATGATATAGATCTAACGTTAACCCAATAAATAAAAAACAGGAGTTGCCATAGATATAAATGTAAAATGAAGCACCACCAACGACGCTAGACCAGTTTTAATGTAGAACTAGACGAAAGTTGCAATACATGTGTAAAAACACGTACAAATGTAAAATATATCAGACGAAGCGAGCGCCCGTGCGCATAGTTTAAGAATACGATAATTTGCCATGTAGTAACTTTTAAAATTTAAGTATAAATTTGTTAGCTACGGCGGTCAATAGAAAACTTTTTCAGGCATTTTATTGAATTTGTTTTTTATTTAAATAAACCTTTATATATATTTGTTTAACACATACAAATCTGCAATAAAAAATAGTTCGATAAGATTTATAATATTTTCATTAAGCATATTAAAAATACTGAAATAAAAAAAAAAGCTTAATCAAGTATCAGATTGTTACGATGACGACATAGGATGAGTGCAATCAAGATGGCGGAATCCACAGCGGCTAACCCGAACCAGCCGAGTGCCTCCAAAAGTGATGAAAAATCACTAGATAAACAAACATTGGCTGCAGTTTTGCAGTTTTTGCGAAAAAATAATCTAAAGGTGAAATGGTGATACTTTTTTGATGTACTGATCTGTGATATACCGGTACAATGAGTCAATGATTAACTAATCAGGTAGGCATGGTTATGATGGTAGGCCGCGCCGGCTACGGCCTACCATCACCAGATCACTGACCATGCCTGTGCGTAAACGAGGTCAACTCTCAACAATGCTCTCTCGTTGGGATTTTCACTTCGTTCCCACTTAGCCTAACCGAACTGTGATGGTTTGGAATGGCAGGGTATTGTGCGGTAAATCCAAGGTACCACTGCCGAGTACCCGCTGCCAGTGCCAGGGGCTACTGCTGTACTGGCAATGGAAAGATTTGCACATAAAAAAATGATACGAAGTGGCTATCGTTATGGCATTCGTAATGCATTTCTCATTTTCTATCATTACGGCACTAGACTGCGCAAGTGCGATGATGTAGCTGATCATCACGACGGTTTACAATGTATATATTTTTAAAAATCTAGACTATTGAATGCTTGTGGCTGAGTGGTCAAGGCGGAAGGTTTGGAACCACTGGTGTGTGAGTTCAAATCCGTGCTTGGACTGTTTTGTTTTTTTTTTCCTAAATTTCATGTTTTATACCATAATTGCTTTTTCTAATTGTATAGGCCTAAGCATGAATCTTTTCTCATCGGAGGCTTTGGAGGATTTTTTTTAAGAGAAATAAAGTCCGGAATCTGCGCTTAAGTTGGCGCGCTTGCGCAGTTACAGTGCCGTCACAATAGAAAATGGGAGATGCGTTACGGCTGCTGTAACAACAGCCACTGCGAAAATGATAAAAGACTACTACTTCTAGTACTAGATCTAAGCCATATCGCAAATACTGCATGGAATTTGCACAATGGTAGAAAGGCATTGTGGGAAGGATAAAGGACCAAACAATGAACCTTTTTCCTTCCCACAATGTCAGAAAGCAATACAATTTAGACAAAGGCTTGTGACAGACAGACATGTTTACAGTAGTGTTGCAAGGGATAAGTGTGGAGTGGCGGGGGTGAATTGGCCAGGAAGGGAGTGGTCAGGGGGTGAGCTGGTAAGGGGTGGAGTTGGCAAAGGAACGGGCCGGCAAGGGGCAAGTTTACCTACATGTACAGTCAGTTTTATGTGGCCTTTAAATGTCATGAAAATTGTGCAAATCACAATGTTTGGCTACCTGTGCTGTTCACTGCTACATGTAAATGTGCTCATAAGATAAGAAAAAGAATATTCATGTTTACTTTATTTGGTTTAAAAATGCATAAGGAAACTGAAGACTTGCTGAAGAAAGAGGCTAACGTTGAAGAAACTGATGAAAGTGTTGGCACCAGTACAGATCAAGAAGTTACATCAGTCTTGTCAGCTTATAACAGGTAAGAATATAAGGCCAGCAACTCAATGCGAATGGAAGGCAAAACGTCGTTAAAAAATTGCAGCAAAATTATTGCCAAATACAGATATTTCCATTTTTTGTAAATTCACAGTGTCAGTAAGAAATTCAAGTTCTTGTTTGCATGATCAGATTCATGCCAAGTGTGACTTGTCCTTCAAATGTACATGTATAGGCTCAAGTCAGTCTTGTCCTGTCATCTGTGTCTAAGAAGAAACATTAAACTGGATATGATATGGGATAGTGTATCTTGCGACCAGGTGTTTCTGTCATGTGGGTCATTCCATGACAATTGGGCACAATTTGTGACGGTGTCCTTGTTACATTGGTAACTTTTTACCACCTGTCATGACCTGTAGAGCAGGTTACATGTATTTACCCCGTAAAAATAACATACACCTCTGTATTCAGCCTTTCAAGATGTATAATTTGGAATCCAAATGCAGGGAAGTACATGTAGCTTTTCATTTTTATAGAACCCACGTAACAATGGACACCGTCACAAAATGTGCCCCAATGTCATGGAATGACCCATGTAACAGCAGTGAAAGTAGAAACCGTTGCAATTTGAAATCACATGCAATATGTTGTGTACATCCACATGCATTATTTTCACTTTGGTTGTAGTATGATGATAATACGTCTTATCATATGCATACGAGTGCCTGAGTGACATTGATAGATACTGCATGCCACATAAAGAGCATGATAGCACATGGGGTATAGTATTCAATGATATCTAGAACTCACTGAGTATATGGGCAAACCCGGCATTTGAGGGTATCAAACTTGGTGTGCCCAATAAAGAGTACAAGAAAAAGAAAGTGTGCAATGTTCATGACCTATTTTGTGCTATATATAGAACTCAGTGGTGAGGACGATATTCCTGAACTTTTGTGGAATGATCCAAGTGATTCATCCAGTTGAAATGAGTGATGTGTGTGTACTCCATGTTGAGGGTTTACTCTGCTTTCTGCTTTACTGGAACTTCTGAAATAGGTCCAACTCGTAAAACAACCTGACATTGCAACTTGATTATGGGTAATTCCAGAAATTAGCCGTCCAAAAGTGTGACATTTTTGTGTCCCTGTTACGTCCGACCTTTGCTATTTGACATGGAAATGTCACTGGAATTGATTTCAAACTATTGCTATTTGTTTGGCAGGTAATTTGCATTAATTCATCACTCTTGGAAATTACAAAGTCAAATGTCAGATGTGACAGGGACATGAAAAAAATGGACCCCGAATTCTGGAACTACCCTTATCCAAACTACACAGGTTTGGGTTTCTACTTGTAGGTGTATGGGTTTGAACACTTCAACATGTCCACGTGCAAAGTGAGGGTCAGGTGGAAAGTAACAAATACATACAGGCATACAAAAGTTGGTTTTAGAATTGATTTATTCCTCTGAATGTGCACATTCACAGCATTAGCTCATGAATAGGTTCGTTTTATTTTTTGCTCTCCAGTGATGGAGACCCATGTATGTATGAAGAGTTCTACCGAGGGTTACAAAACATTATTGAAAGTTCCCTGGATTCAAGCAAGGTATGGATGTGATAGCAATAGAGAAATTTGCTTGTGTAAGACATGAACCAGCAACCTCCAGAACGCCGTTTTGTTGCTCTACCAACTTAGCCACCAACCCTAAGTTGGTGGTCTGCCAATTCCTCAGTACCGTAGCTTCGAGGTCCTGTGTTCATAGAGCTAGGACTTTGCACTGTAATAGTGGAGGACTTGTTTTTTCTTGAAATACGAAGACTATGTCCACCATGCTTGACCGTCTTCTTCCTCAGTTCTCAAAAATCCAAAATGGATGGTTCTGGAGGATTTTGGAGGATTGATGCTAAATGGCAAAATATGTGCCTGATTGCAAAGGATGCATTGCTGTGAAGTCATCTAGGTTCAGTGCATACATGTAGGTGTTTCTGTTCAAATTGTAAACCCAGGGTTTACTATTAAACTGAAAACATTTCTGAGAGAGGGTCGATGCTTCCTTATTGCTGTGCACATAAACACAATGAATCAGCAAAGAGGAGAAAACTGAGTCCTGGAAAATCTACAAAATTCAAGGACTTTTTTGTGTATAAACCAATGTAACCTTGAGGTTTTTTCCAGAGATGACATCACGGTTTTGCTCACGAATATGAAGGTCTCATTAGCATATAAAACCTAAAAGGCAGTAAAACACCCTTTGAAATAGCGGAACAAAAGTTGAAAATAAGGTTTTTTGAGACACAAAAGTGTGTTTTGGAGGTTTTCATTCAAAAAAAAAAAGTTTAGCTACCCTCTAAGGTGCATAATAAAGTAGTAATCTTGAGTCTTAAATTGAAAACTGACACATTAACTTTGTTGTTCTTTGAATAAAAATGTCAAACCTTTGAGTTTTACTTGTTGCATTCTTTTGCAGAGTGAGTTGGCACAAGTGCTGTATCCTGTCTTTGTCCATATGTACTTAGAACTGGTCTACAATGGTCATGAGAACCAAGGTAAGGTATACACCATGTCGATACTTCATACAACCAGGTCTGCATGCATTACTTGAAGAAAAAATGTTTGATAAAATACAGGAAAATAAAAGCGAGAGGTTCATTCTGAACATTGTATCCCATGTCAAATACACAGCAGGATTATATTGACCTTTTATTTCTCCGTCTTGCTCATACCTAGCTTTGTGATGAAATGGTGAATTAAATAGATTCATTGTCTTCCTCCCCCCCCCACCTGAAAATGAAAAGACAAAAGAGAGTATTCTAATCATGCGTTTGAGTACTACAGTTATATCTTGACTTTTTTTGGTCACATGCATGGTTGGTTCACTGTAACTCAAGATGCGTTATTTCTTGATGCAGCCAAGACTTTCTTTGCATCATTCAGTGAGGATCAGGAGGAACATCACCAAGACGACCTAATTCGACTCGCCACCGTCACCAAAAAGGATCATATGGTCCACAATGAGCTGATTATGAATTACAGGTAACAGTTGGAACTGGTGAAGAGAGGGAAGCAAGGTTGATACTTGGTATTACCATACCTCATGCATATTCATGATCAAGAGCAGAATTTTCATTGTCATAATATGCCAGTTGCTAAATTAGTGGTTACCAGGCAGTGTTTAGGGTTACATAATACATGATATCATTGTAAATGATACATTGTTGCAATTAATAATTAAACTTCAAAGTGAATTGGGGTTTGTGCATATCAGTGAAAGAAGGCAAGAAATTACTGGGCAGAATTAACGCTCAAATCAACCCTTTTTAACCTTGAATTTCCTCAACTTACCTCAGCAAGACTTCCAATCACAAAGCAGTGATTTAAAAGAATGAAGATTGAGAAATCAGACTTAAGTCCAATAGAGTGATTCCAAAACTTTCCATAGGACAAGCAAGTACGTGATTCGGATGTGCCGTAATTCCTACCAGTCGTTGAAGAGACAGTTGCATGACCGGCAAAACACCATGGTGCTAACTATTGTAGAGGAACATCTCTTCATTGATGGTAAGTGTCAATCTGGCCCCAGCTGCATGCTGGCCATCTGTAATACACACATGGACTCCATCAGGAACTGTAGAGTACGGTTTTGTAGGAGAATAACAGAAAAGTATGTGTAATGCTGTTTCTGTTTGCTAATCTGCCCCGAGCTGAAGTGCGCCATCAATCGGCGAAAGAAAGACAGGTGGTTACAGGTGGGTTCTTGCATGCATTCTGCATGTATGCAAAGACCATACATGCTGCAATAAATTAGTAATGCGTACTCAGCATGCTCCGCGTCAAACATGCACATTCTTGCGCACCTCATGGCACGCCTATGCGGTGAGTACCAAAAAGAACATGCCCCCTTTTGTTCCACTCGGAGCGGATTGTTATAGTGTGACAAAAATATGAAGCACAATACAGTATGGCAGGTGTTAAAGCTAACCCCCGTGTATTATAGTAAGGAACCTCCCACCGTCTTGGAAAATCCCCCATTGTGCAGGAAACTAATTTTGCAATCTTCCTTCTTGGCATATGTCCCGTGTCAAGTGACAGTGATGGCTGCCAACATCCCAGTCCCATAAAATCCTCCAAAACCTGGTGTGTGTGTGTGTTGAAGATCATGGACGGCTAGGTTGAATGTCTGAATATTTTCGGCCTATATTTTCTCAACCAGTTTTTGACGGAGTACCACGAAGTAAGCAGCAGATTGAAGCAACAGCAGGGGGCATGGTGGGCCAGGCAAGGAGAGACGGTAAGAATAATCCTAGTGCAGAGACAAACCACCCTGTGGCCTTTGCGAACCCTCTGGTGCAAAGTGGTCAACTTGTCTTATATTATGAGGTCACATGTTCTCTTGTCAGCCAATAAGGGGAGGGTGTATTACGGCTTACTGAAGGAACCGGAGATAACCCTTCCAATGGAAGAGGAAGATGAAGGAGGAGAGGAAGGAGACAAGCCCAAGGTAGGAGGACACTGGCACCTACCTACTCTCAGGCTGCATCCAAAATCTGTTGTCTAGAGCTAGGTCTAGGTCCTCGCTCCATTGGGAATGCGTGGAGACGCGCAGACAATAGACCTAGCCATAGCTCTGGAAGCCCGTTTTGGACATGGCCTCAGATTCCAAGTGCAGTTCAAGAACAGACCCTGACACTGGGAGGGGGGGAGTCTGGGGTGTTCAAAGGAACCCCCAGTGGTAGATAGGTTCCTGTACTAGTTTTTGTTTGTTCTTATATGCAGTACGTCATTTACATGTATCAGCAAACGGTTTTAAGTAAGGACGATGTAAAATCTGAGCTGACTAAAATTCCGATTTGTGACCTGAAAGTTTATCATAAGAATCAAGCAAAAGAAAGAGAGTGTGCCGAATAACTTGTCCACCTGCTGGGCATTCCTTATTACAGTAGAAGCCACCATCGTCTCATGTTTGTCTATGTGCAAATGGTTCCGCAACAGGGCCTAACAAAACCCCCAAATCTTAGGTAAAAAAAACAGTTCATGGAAGTAGCAGGTGGCACTTGAAGGAGAACGTCTCTGTGCAGTCCAATTGCAGAAAAGAAAGGGGCACGAAAGTCCATGATACTGTAGCTTTTATGTAATCCTAACTACAGTGTACATTTTGACCTGGTGTTTTCGACATTGCTGTGTCACAAAAACGTGATTGGATGCTTTGGAGTGCGAAAAGCACAACTTCACGTGATGTACTCCAATCTGAGGGGAAAATAGTTACATGGTGCCTTTTTTATATATTGAACAGAGAAAACGGCCCAAGAAAGATGCATCAGCTGGCAAGAAAAATAAACCTGATCCCAATGCCCCTCCAGCAAACAGAATCCCACTTCTGGAGATGTAAGTTGAAGTTGTATCATGCACCAAAATATGTGCACCTCATTGTGATAATTCCTCTGTGTAAGTTTAACCCCTGTCTATATACAGAAGAGATAAATTGCTTGTCGATGTTCTCATTACTACTGTCAGATTCATCAAACAAAATAGGCAAAGCGGGAGGCAGTAGACTAATCCCATCAGACGCCATAACTGCGTTGGCACCGCACTCACAAACACATTCTTCCGCTTGATGCTTGCACGTTCCTGTGGCAAATCACGACACCCTGTTGGTCGTAGAGGCATGTAACGCACACGCGTACCACCTCTCCGCCGTAGTAATAGCTTCTAATTCTGGAAGTTGATTTACGCTGTAGTTTGTTTCACGTACATTATGCCACCAAGAGGTTGGCATGGAGAGGCCACATCTCAAGTTTGCAGTTCAGAAAAGCATGGCCGCCTTGCAGGATTTGCATTTCAGCTCTTAGTCAACTCAGGGAAATTATTGCAGCTGTCGAATAGAATTTGGCGACCATTTCCCACAATGCCAAAAAAAGAACTATCCATGACAACCTCTTGGTGGAACATGGATCGTAAATTTCCCCTGTTGCCTCTTGCTTTGGAATATGTGAACCTGTGTCAATGATTTAAGGACAGTCAGTTTTTATTACTCATTTGAACCCCAGGTTTAAGACATCTAAATATGGAAATTTACTTAGAGGAATGCCAATAAATGGTGAGGCTTGTCTGGTCTTTGTTACATTTTTAGGAAAGACTCCGATAAAATTGACAAAGCCATAGCTTTGAGGGAGTTGTCCAAGAGGATCAGGCTGGGGCCAGACTGTCTGCCGTCCATCTGTTTCTACACATTCCTGAATGCATTCGAGGGGTAAGTGTTCAAGGGGTAAATTTGCCAAGCAGGATTGTGCGCTTTGCACATCTTTTTAGTTGGGTCCGTACAAGGTTGGAACCAGAACTTAATTTTTGAGGGGTCCAAGACTGTGTTTATTCAGTAATGGGGGCCCAAAATATTGGAAAATATCAGGCTATGTTTTGGTAAAGGAAATGGACCCTAAAATCACCTGTCTCTTGTTTTTGAAGAATTGTTTTTGCTCCTTTTTGGCGGGAGGGGGCATGACCTCCATTGACCCCCTGTCTCCCCAGTTCTGTATCAGAGCTAGCAAAATGCTTGGCGATTTTTAGCAATGTCAGATGTCACATATGTAATCACCCTGTTTCCAAATGCTCAATTTTTTCCATTTCAATCACATGGGCCTTAATCTTTATCAATGTTGGGAGTCACTCATGCACCCAGACCCTATCACATAGACCAAGGTTTTAACCAGAAGGATGTGTTGGTGTCTTTTGAACACTCAGAACTCTGTTGGACACCCACTTGATACTAAAAAGCATAAAGCTTATAAAGCAACTGGGACTCCCTGTTTCAAAACTTAAAGCATATTGTTACAACCAATATTTCAAAGACCGGCTAGAGCCCCTGTCATGAACATATTTGAAATGTCACGTTTACCACATGTTCCTGGTTGCAGGTTGATATCGGTGGACATCAGCGACGACTCCAGCCTGATGGTGGCTGGCTTTGCCGATTCCTGCATCCGCGTCTGGGCCCTGACGCAGCGTAAGCTACGCAACATGAAGCTGGGGAGTGAACTGGCACTCATCGACAAGGAGGCAGATGATGTCATGGAGAGAATCATGGATGATAGGTAACAAAAAGAACCATTTCTTTATTTTTTGTACCCCGTGGGACAACAGCCAAATCTAAAGTGAGTCATTGCTTTTTCCATTTACTGTACAGGTCAGAAGATGTTAGATGCCAAATATTCAGTGTGTGTCTCTGAACTTGTAATTTTAAAACTGTTTACAGGTGTAGTTTTGGGATACTGTAATTGACCATAAGGAAGGTGCTTATGCCTTTTGTGCCGGACAGCAGCAACTGAGCTGACTGTTCGTAAAAAGTGATCATAGGAGTGCTTTGTGTAACTTGTGGACCTTATGAGGAAGGGTCAGTGATGATAATCTGCAGCAAATGAAATCCCTGATGATGTCATCATGAGCTACATGTATGTTGCCGTACTGTGCAGGACAGCGTCAGAGTGCCGGACATTACTTGGCCACAGTGGCTCCGTGTATGCTGTCAGCATCAGTCCAGACAGGGGCTACGTCCTGTCTGGGTCGGAGGATGGCACTGTCCGGCTGTGGAGCATGTTCACCTTCTCCAATCTGGTTTGCTACAAGGGCCACAACTACCCGGTGTGGGACGTACAGTTTGCGTGAGTACCAGCAGGGTCGGTTGGGATAGGGATGGTTGCCATAACACGTGTTCAAGCATAGGTACCAACTGCCTTGGCCCATTTACACAGATGAGTGATAACAGGGAGTGTTGACTAAAGATGATATGCGGCGTGAAATTTTACACACAATCCCCAAATCTACTTAGTATACAAATCAGTATGTCACTGACTTTCCACAACAACAGTAGCATCCCGTAGAAGGAATCAATGGCTTGACTACATTGTGGCAGTCATTCTGTGATCCCGATGAGATCACTGATTGGTCAGATCACATAGTCTTATTTCAGCGATTTTGAAGAATCACAGATCTCAGCTGTCCGATTTTGAGCAATTGAAATGCATGTAGGGACATTGAATCTAAGTACATTTGTAAAACTTTGATTCAATCTGACATTGAGCTTTCTTGTCATGGTTATTTAGCCTGCATGCTTTGAACACCTCTGAGAAAAGTGTACATTTTGGGTCGACCAGTCTGGGAAGAAAAAAATTATTCTGCGATGATATTGCAAAAATGTTAGGGGAGGGGAAAAATGCAAAAAATGTGCTGCAGAGTTTGTGTCGTGTGTTAGATTTTGCCTGATTCCAGGCGGACTCTCACCTTTGAGCCATTGTTGGATGATATTCAGTGACTTGCTGATGTATGAAAATTAGTTAAAGCGATTGGCATGCAAGTTATATACACGGCTGTTTTTCTTTGCAGTCCCTATGGCCATTACTTTGTCTCGGGGGGCAACGACAGGACAGCAAGGCTTTGGACAACTGAAAACTATCAGCCAATCAGAGTGTTTGCAGGACATTACTCGGATGTAGACGTGAGTATAAATGCTTTCCAGTTTATTTGCTGCTTTTGGGACGGGGGAACTAAGGGCAAAAAATTTGGAACTTCATTTTTGTAATCTTTAACGACCTGTCCAAGGGGTGTTGCTATTTTCCATACTTTTGGAAGGAGGAAAATTCAAATTTGCTTTTTTGTCGTTATTCCTGAGCAGAAAACCATTTGCTCCTTTATGGGGGGAGCATGGCCCTCGTTGGTCCCCCTTGGGTCCATCGCTGGGATGCGGGAAGACATTGAACTGTTTCATGTGCTGCTGTTGCTGTGGTTTATTCCTGCAGTACGGGTTCTTAAGCATATGCTGCTGGGGAGCCTGGTTTCAGGCATATAAGCTTTATACATGAAACGAGGAAGCCCGAAACTAGACAAAAGAGCGGGCCTTGTGACAAAAGACTGTACTCGGAACAAAAGACTGAGCTGCTGGGAATTGCCAACATTTTTTTCAGTTGTCAATAGCAGAGAAAATCTGTCCTTATTTAGAGATTATAGCACTGTTTTTTGGCATTCAGCACAAGTGGATTACCACAGGGGACAAAAGCGCTCCAGCACTCCAGTGATGAGTGATACAATACTGCTGCATGCTAATCTGGCCCCTATTGAAAAGACGCCAGCAGTGCACTGTACCAATTTCAGGAACAAAAGAAAATTACATTTCACCGCACAATCTGGGCCTTTTTTACAAGGTGGCAGACCTGGCTGAAATACTCGGGCGTCAATAGATGTTGTCTGTCAGATTAGAGTAGTAACCAGACAGTTATCCATGTGGGTGTAAACGTCCGGTAAATGAAACTATGATTTTTTGAAGAATTTTGAGAACGGAAAATCTTGAAAATGTCCCAGTTTTACGTCATGCAACTTCAAATTCCGCCTGGCAGCATGTGGTTAAGGCCAGGCAGTGCACTGCAAAACCTTGGGTTTAAAGGATGACAGCCAACTCAGCAGTGGATGCTTGAAATGTGGCGTGCATCCAAGCACAACAGAAGTAGTATGGTAACATTAAGGGTTGCAACCTGTAGGATGTAGGGCATTGCTTGTTTTTTGGGGGGCTAGTGAGACCAACAAACTTTCTGTTTTTCCCCATTTTCCAGTGTTTAAGATTCCACCCCAACTCTAACTATGTGGCGACAGGCTCGAGTGACAGAACCATTCGTCTGTGGGATCTGCAGAATGGCAAATGCGTGCGCATCATGACAGGTCACAAGGTATTAGTAAAGCAAGTCTTGCACTTTTTCTTGCCTGTGGTCTGGTTTTGCATCCTCTCACCACGAGAGGGGAAGGTTTGCTGTATCACCTTGGAACTTAATCTCTTTTTTGAGACATGAGGGTGTGAGAAAAACCAGTCGTTCCAACTCCAGATTTCGAACAGTTTGCTCTGTTGGTCATCAGGAGTCTCATTAGAGTTGAAAACATACCCAGGGACGGATCCATGTCCGACTGTTTTTGATAGGCAGACGCATAGCAAATGCACGTGTCATCGTTACTAATACACTTACACTGTACCAATTAGGGTCGGTCGGGAAACCGGCACTGGAAGTGCGATTGGATTATACTTTCTCATTTTGGAAAGTTGGAATCGCTGCAGACGCGTAGCAAATTCTGTCATTGTTACTGACACACTTACATTTATACACGTAGCTAAGCTTCTGTTCCTAATGCCATGTACAAATAATGACCCTTACAGGATGACATCTATTTAGTAGTACTACAGTTGGTTACTTTTTTTAAAAACATTTTTGGGTGTTGGGGGAGGGTTGGGGTTTGAGACCCCTCATCGGCACCTGACTCCACCAGAGAGAGGCCAGATTGCCACTGTTTCTTTCGCTACTGCTATTTCAACACCTTTCCCAGCTTTTTATGTGAGGTCCAGTCCCCTAGCTCTCGTGAATAAAAGTCCACGACTTCTCATCCTTGCAGGGTCCCATTCAGGTCCTATGCTTCTCTCCCAATGGTCATTACTTAGCCTCTGGCGGCGCTGATGGCAGGGTCTTGATGTGGGAGCTGCGGCACGGACATCTGGTGGCTGAACTCACTGACCACTCGGACACTGTGTATGCTTTGGCCTTCTGCAGGGATGGCAGTGTCCTGGCATCAGGTATCAGCATACATCCGTCATAGGCTCGCCAGTCCAGGGTCACTGTTTCACTCAATTTATTGGAGGAATGTAATGCCAAGTTGAATTTTCTCTGCAACACTGAAAAGATGGTGGCTATTTTGGAGTCTGTAATCAAGCTGGATGTAACCTGAAAATCAAACACAGCATGTGTTTGTCTGAGTTTTTAAATTGTAATGAGCATGTGATTACATTTGAATAACCAGTTGATGGGTCATAACATCTATATTTAGATAGCACGTTTTTGATTGAAACTTGCAATGGAGTAAGCATTTTCTGCTGTGCACTGTTTAACTCTAATTTGGTAAGTATTTGGTAATTTTCAGTTGTTATTTTCTATGATGAAGGTGGTATGGATAACTGTGTCAAGCTGTGGGATGTGAAGAAGGTCTTCTCAGAAGTTGAAGCGGAGGACATGACTACAACACCCAACATTGTACAGTAAGTTAAAAAAAATTACGAAATTTCTTCAACCGCTGTCCAAATGGCTCCTTGAATCCTGCATCATCAAAAATAGCTGTTCATGATTTTGTGGTAGTTATTGATCACATAATGTATGATAATCGGTAGGGAAGCTATTAGTGTATGATCAATAGTTTGACGGTCATTTTTAGATCTGCATGTAAGCTCTTGAGAAACAGAGTTTCTCCAGCTCTCTTGTAGCAGCTTAGACTAAGCTCAGGGTTGAAGTTGTCGTTCCAAGTTTTTGGCTTATCTGTCTTTTGCTGCTGTAGTTTAAGTTTCTTCATCCAATCTCCAGCATAATGTCAGCCTATTCATGTCTGACAAGACGTCCAGAAGCACTAGGAATTTCTAAACTGAGACCTGAATCCTTCCAGAGATAACCTGACATTGCTGAGAGGAATGTTTGTCTGTGCACAAGCAGGTGTCTACTTGGAATGATCTCCTCAGTTTGGAACATGAGGAACTCTCTGTGTATTGGTACAAAACAAGGATTACTGCAGTCCACATTTTCCAGGAATTTTCTCGGTTTTGATGCTTTTCAAGAATGACAATGCGATCAAGACTAAAATGTTTACAACCTTTTTACATTAGTTGTTGGAGATGTTCCAATTTCCATAACTGAAGAAAAGCTCTCTGATCTCGTTACAGATCTTCAAAGAGCAAGCTTTTGTTGGGCTCTTATCCCACCAAAGACACTCCTGTACACTTTCTCCATTTTACCCGACGGAACTTGCTACTGGCTGCAGGGTCTTACGCAAATGCGTCCAGCTGAAGAGAGTTGTTTGGACGTGACCAGCTCTGTGTCACTTGTCAGCCTCTCAACCAGGAATTGGACAATTTCCTCTTTGAAAAGTTGTTCAAAGCTTCAGCAACCCTTCTTGTATGAGGGAGATGCACTTACTTGGAATGGTGCTCTTGGTGCTCTGTAGTGTTGGGGGGAGTTTTCAAGGATTCGGGAGGATTTTTAACAGAGAGAGAGAGCTATCCGACATTGTTGACTTTCCAGTGAATGGAACCTACTCAGCTTACGTTAACTAAAATGCCTTGTGTCATTTGAACCCCCAAGCCATTGAAGTTTCACGTGAAAATGGGAACTGTTTGAATTATTGTTGATCTGTGACACAACTTACATGTAAAGCGTTCTTATAAAAATATGAAGAGGCACCATGTCAGTAAATAGTTGACACATTCAGTTGTTCTCTTGAGGGAAAAACGAAGAGGTAGACATGTTACAGGTATGAAATTAAAGTTGAAATTACAATGTGTATGATGCTTGTTGTTCCATATGGCTTCTGACCAGAGCCCCTGATTAAAGATGTTGACAAATGGGAAGGGCCACCGTAATGTAAGGCTAAATACCTCAGTTGGTAGAGCACTGGTACGGTATTCTGGAAGTCGCATGTTCAAATCCTGCTCCAGTCAGTTTCTTTGTTCATCTTTGTAATGAACGATTTCAACGTTTTTACATGTTACAAGATGTTTCCCATTCCATCACCGAAATTGCAAGAGAAACACTCTGATTTATCAATTCCTGGGAGAAAACAGGTAGCCTGTTTTCTTCAACAAAGCCCACAATTTCCATACATTTAACCTCTTTTTTTTTTTTTTGATCACAACTTGTTTGCTAAGTATGCAAGGGCTCGGGTTGTCATCATGTGTTGATTTATGAAGTGGTTAATGGCTGTGCTGTACACTGGCAGCGTGTGGACAGTTTTGACCAACATGCATGTGACCTGAACGACATGCATGTCGTCACCCCGTAACTTCGGTGACTTGCGGTCGTTTAACTACATGGTGAGTCGTTGTTCATGAGATGAATCGGCAGTATATCCTGGTTAGAGGAAGTGACACAGACTTGAATGTATTTTCTTGCCGGCCTCAACACAAAACTAGATTTATTTAGATATAATTTATCTCGAAGCACATGTGAACTCACCAAGAAAGCGAGTCATTGAAATGATACACAAAATAGCCCATTTTGAAAAAGTACTACGAATGGAAATCTTGTGCACCTCCTTTAAGGGCAAAATGAGGGCTAAGACCAATCTTTTTATTTCTAATTGACAGATGTGTGATTAAAGTTGAAACTATCGGGTGCATGATGCTTATTGATGAGTTGTAGCTGAATAGCCAATCACAGTAGGTGGAACCTGAGGGTCTACTATTGAGAATATTAATGTCACCTGGTCACGTTCATACGTGGGGTGGTGATACCCTATGATGATTGGGTACGCCTAAGTTTTAAGTTAGGGATTGATCTCTCCGGCGATTAAGATACTCCAAATAAAGATCAAGAATTGGCACAAAGAATGATTCTCGCGGTATATTAGAGTTGATTTATTTCTATTTGAAATCACGTTGAGAAATTTAGGACTGCCCCAATATTAAGAAATAGAAAATTTACACAATTGTGGACGCTAATAAATGGAGTTGACAATGATATGGATTGATTGACCAGTAATGGAAAAAAGTCTTATGCCGTGGTAATTGCAAGAATAAAAAGTTAAGTCATAAGATATGGCAGAGCTGGTGGGCAAAGGGATAAAAGGATATTAAAGGATAGACTAAAGGATAAAAGGGCACTGTGCAACCTGCTCTGTCTACAGAGTTCAGGTTCTGACACAACAAACTGCCAGAGAGAGGCAGATTGTCAGGTACGGCACGGCGAAGTACGTCGTGTACTAGCGTACAACAATACGATCATGTCTGGTAGGAATTAATGGACTATACAACCCGTTGTTGCAGACTAATATTGACGAGGATACGATTAATTTATGATTATGACCATGAACAACCACTGGGGCGACTCTACACAGAAAATACAACAATTAAAATATAATGTCGGGACTATGTTGAACGAGTAGGAACACTCGAGGTTTGTGAGAAAGTGCGTGGTGTGGAAACCTGAGGGAACGCTAGACTTGACAAAGTCTGACCACCACATTAAAGATTCTTAGAATGCATGGCATTACATCCCCCAAGTAAATAATATAAATTTTTACATATATTTGCTAAAATGGTAGAGGTCCACATGAATCATTTTAATTTGAAGATATTGGTTGCTGTAGCAACAGCAGACATTACAGTCAACCTGGTTGATGCTAAGTAAATACATGTGTAGAACTTCACGAAATATGGCGTGACAGTCCTTACAAACAACTATGAATGTAGGATGGGATACAATAGGACTTTCATAATGCTCAGAAACGTTGTTAAGGTTTACCGGATTCGTTCACGCTCAATACAACAGTGCACTGAGTGCTCATTCCATATGTGAATAAAGGGGAAATATATGTCAGTCCTTTCTGCAAGGCTTTGAGTGAACTAAAACCCAAACTTATTCGCTTGAAACACTGTTATTATCTTCCCCGGCAATGAAGGCTTTAATATATTTACATTTCCTAAGTGCAGTCGTTTCTTTGCTTTGAATTTGTAAACCTGTCCGACGGTCATCGATATGTTTTAATTGAAAGAAACTGAACTGAACCAAAGTGATGGAATCTACCAATCTCATGTTTGACTGATTGATGGTCTCCTAGTACCAGGTCAAAATAACTCCATACATCAAAAGGAATAACTAGATGAAAACAGTAAAGTTGTAGTTCTGACAGATTTCTTCGGCTTATCATTTAACTGCAGTAAAATATTTTACCATCGTTACTTGGCTGAGTGTTTGTTGTCTCATGTCATCCTTGGAGACGCACGGGCCCCCAAGGTAGACCCACTCCCAGTTTTTTCTTGGATGATTCCCATACCACGTGGCTGCTTTGTCAAGGTTCGACAGCAAATTTGCACCCTCTGTTTCAAGTGTCAACACTGGGTACACCTGGTACGAGAGGCGTTCGTAGAAACCCAATGATGATTGGACGCAGATCAAAAAGATCTGCTCACATCCCAACGTCTCGTGAGCATATTCCTCAGCCAACAGTAGCATCTTGCGCCCAAGCCCCAAACCTTGCTTGGATGGACTTATGCACACGGCCTCCAGGTAGGCACCTCGGGGTGTTTTGGGATGGGTCACAGTGACTAGCCTTACGTGTCCGATGACAGTATCTGGGGTGTCCTCCCCGTGTTCGATGAGGACAAGAGAGCATGGTGGACCGCTCTGTTCCTCGGCAGTTAGTTGATGCAGCCTCTCTGGTTTGGAACATGGCCACGTGATTCTCAAGAGCTCTGCACAGGTGTCGATCAGATCTTGGCGATCGTGAAGGGAGCAAATTGAAACTGCCGAGGTTTGCTGTTCTGCCATGGAGGATTCTCAGGTCCCCGAGTTGTCTTTTCATGATGCTGCCAATAAATGCAATGTAGCCTGTACCGTATGTACAGACGCAACTGCAAGTAATTCGTGACAGTGCATTGAATCAAGCTGACCTTATCATCTGATTATTGTTGGGTACGGGTATCAAAAGCCTGCGTAAACCAGCCATTGCGGAGGGCACACATGCGTTACAAACTAAATGACGCGACGCGATTGTGGCGTGGTGCATGACGGGTAGCCTGCGGGTCGGATCGTCAGTAGCAAGTATCGACCTTTGATGGCTTGAATTGACAGAATAAACTCACTGTGAACCAGAATTTTAGTTCGTGAATCTGGCTTTAAAAAACCTGTGCAATCTAATGACCGTCAGTGTTTTATATTCCTGTGATAACCTCGGTTGCAAGAATATCATGACTTTTTTTACACGAAGAGAGGAAATAAACTTAGTTCCACTGCTCGAAAAAGGCTACTGCATATCTGATTACACAAGATTTTGACTGACAAAGTCCATCAGACGTCTCGTGAGTTATTTCCAGCAAAAAGCTCACTGGCATTCAAGCGTGCGACCCTGAACAATTAGGAAGGAAACATATGTTGGTGGAACGGTTTTGTCACTGACTTAGCCCACGACCACTTCGCCCATCTACCGATTTGCCACTTCGCCCACGTGCCATTTCGTCCACTGACGCGCCACTTCGCCCATGTCGCTTGCCCCCATTACTCAACCCAGCACCAAGCAGGCCTGCGATTAACTGACAAACTCTGCATCCTTTAACAGGTTTATTGCGTGTAATGTTTTAGATATAATAATCAAAATATCAAGATTAAGGCACAATCATTTGTCACAGCCGGCAAAGACCGTGATGGGAAATAAAAGCCTAATTTATGACGTCATGGTAACGGCATGGCCTTATTTTATATTGATTTTTGAATATTTTATTTTTCCCCGCATGTTTTGTACACGTTTTTCTAATTAACACAAGATCACTAGACCTTTACTTCGGCTCAAGATTACTATCAGAACGAAAGAGAAATCGGGTACTTTCCAGTCTGTTACATTTATTTGATTTGAAATATGCCTAAGAGGCCGAATGTCAAGTAATATTTCATAAAAATTTTTCAATTTAAGCGCAAATCACGTGACATGAAGTTGAAGGAGCAGTGTCTCTGCAAACGAGTTTATAGCCCATTGACTTTGTACACATTTTCGAGCCAAAAATTTGGTAACTTCGCAATGTTTGAACGATGACAAAATGATAGCCAACAAAGACCCCGAGGCAAGATTTATATAAAATGGGTGACGGCATGATGACGTCATCACCTGATTTTATACTGATTTTTCAATATTTTATTTTCTGCATAGGTGTTGTAATGCAGGCGCACATTGTCAAACCGTATTAGGTTTACCTTTGACCTTGGGTGCGTGATTTATTCATCTGTAGGCGTTGCCTATCGAGGCACCAGTTCTCGGACCGCGCGTCGAAAGTGTATACTTACCTAGGCCACTGTGAGTGCATCATACTGTCTGTATATACACGTGTGTGGGTTTAGACGCGGCATTAACCACAACTCCTGAGATGTGATACATGCTCGACATTTTGTTTTCTCATTGTTGGGTATTGCAGCAGAAAGCCTCGACGATGTAAGCCTGCATTAACATTGTTAAGTGACTGATTTGAAGCTGCAATTCTGCTGATGGTGATAGCCTATAATCTTGGAAGAGAAACTGCAACATGTGTATTGATTTTTGAATACCTTATTTTTCCCCGTAGATTTTGTACACATTTTTCAACAGGCACACTTCGGGACACTGGGCAATCTAACGGATTTCATGTTTGTGCACAATCATACTCCACCACGTAAAGAAGGTCCCAGAACACGTGCGTCATCATGACATCATAAGTAGTCACGTGACATGAGGTTAAAGCCACAGTTTTTCTCCATAGGGATAGTACACGTTCTCGTACTACACACTATTATTGAGAATAATTAAGGAGTAGTTCTCAAATACGACCGAGAGTTACTACCAGAACAAAAGAAAAATCATACTAAATTTTCCCTTCCGTTTCATTCCAACTATAACCAAGAGTAAGAATATCAAATAAAATTTCATAATTTTTCTTCAGTTTAGCCGCAAATCACGTGACATGAACTTAAAGGAACAGTATTTCTGCATAGGTTTTTAGCCCATTGATTTTGTACGTTTTCAGGGCATCATTTTGGTCATTTAGCGATGTTCAATTGTCATCAGTTTCAGCCAACAAAAACTCTGATACAAAAAAACCACCAATTTTATGACGTCATGATGACGTCACCATCTTTTTAAATTGATTTTTGAATATTTTATATTCCCAATAGGTTTTAAACATGTTTTGTGTTTGACAGTCAGACTTCGGCAATTTTCTTCATCTGATTGACTGTGCCAACTTTAATTTGTTACATTTCCTAATGTCCGAAAGGGGTTCAAATGTTTGTTAAAATGAGGACACAAAAACATCTTTAAGTACTTTAAGTACTTTAAGTAAGAAGTGAGAAATCCAAATGTGGTAGTATCTAAAATGAAGGAATGCCCTTTGCTTAAGAAAAAAAGAAAACGCGAAAAAGCCCTTTGCTCTGTCCTTGAGACAGACAAACCTCTAGTTTCTTCTTTCTTCTTCCTCTTCTTCTTCTTCTTCTGACCCAAATCCCCTTTGTTTTGTACACATTTCTTCCACCACCGACTTTAGTCCCCAGCAACTTTGTATCTTCATCAAACTTACATCAAGGAAGGACGTCATCAAGTGATTTATCATTAATTTTTTAATTTCTATTTCAGCCCATTGACTTTGTACACGTTTTCATGACACTATTTTAGTGATTTGGCGATCTTCAATTGTAACCAAAGTTACAGCCAACCAAGACCCGATACAAAAATACTTCAAAATTTATGACGTCGTGAAGACGTAATCAACTACGTTTTTATTGATTTTTGAATGTTTAATTTTCCCCACAGGTTTTGTACACGTTTTCTTCCACACATTATTATCGAGCTTAATGAGTGAGTAGTCCTCAACTT